CAAACCTCAAAGTGTCTTTAAAGTGCTGATTTCCAGTTTCATATCTTCTAAAAGCTCTTTCATACACTTGAGCAGTTTCTAGCATTAAATATGTACTATTCCACCTTTTACAAACATCTAATACTAGATTCTTAGAGCTAACACACTTATCAATTTTAGCACATTTTCTAAAACTTGACAATCTTTTAGGACACTGCCTAATATACTTAACTACGGCCCTAATCCTATCAACAGACTTATCTATATATGCCAAACCATTCTTAACAACCAGATTCATCACATGAGCCATACAACGAACATGCAACCATTTAGCACCCAACACACAGTTTTCTCGGTGAACAAATTACTCTTTCAAATACTCAATAGCAGAATCATTAGAAGAAGCATTATCAACAGTTATGGAAAACACATTTTCATTCTCAATTTTCCAATCCAGCAAACAATTCGCAATTTCAGCCCTGATATCTAAACTCTTATGACTTGTAATAGGCATGAAACTTAAAATTTTCTTTTTCAAAGTCTAATTATTATCCACATAATGCCCATTCAAACACATATAATTTATTTGCTGCAAAGAAGTCCAAGTATCTATTGTGAAACAGATTCTACTAACATTTCCTTTCAGCTCAACTTTCAGTTTTTCCCTCTCAGATAAATACAGTTTATAACATTCATTAGCCACTGATTTCCTACCCTTAGGTACAAACTGTGGCTGCAACTTTCTAAGAAAATATCTAAATCCTTTCTTGTCAACAAACCTAAACGGCAATTCATCAACAATTATAATGCAAATCATTGCCCTAATTATTTCTTCTTTATTATACCTCCAAGTACCTACACTAGAAGGTTTTCCTTCCCCAGTATCAATAACTAACTTACTCTGACCAGGATCCTGGCTCAGGGATAAGTACTTTTTACAAACCTGCAAATGTGCTTGAAGACTACCAGTCCCATGTTTTTTACTATCAGCCATATAAGAATAACCACAGTACTTACAATCAGCCCATAAAACACCTTTAGAATCTCTATGAGTAGTTAAATGAATCCATACCAGAGCGCTTATGAGTTACTCTGCGCTTCTTCGGAACAATAGCAGCTTGCGCTTCAATCCCCTGATCCTCAATCTCTACATCTATCATCAATCCTTCATCATTGGGCAAATCCAGCAGAGGATGAGGCAGTGAACTAGAACATTTCTCAACTTCAATCTCCTCAATCTCCTCAATATCATCAAATTCAGAATCTAGTTCTGGCATCTACACAGAAAAAAGAGGAAAAAAAGCATTTTAGTTACCTAAATTGCAGAACACACAACAGCTGAACAACACTTTCAAGTTTCAAAACACTGAAACAGCAAGCCAAAAATACAAAAATTGTCAAAAAGAAAGCTTACCTTGAAGATAGCTTAACAGTCTCAAACTTCAATTCTCACTTCTCAGTCCTGCATTATAAGAAAACAAAAACAAACAATAATGAATCATATGGCTAATGAAAAACCAGCATGTCACTTCATTTTTAAACAAACATCAACAATACTCAACATTGAACATTCAGTTCTTAGTTCTTACCTTAAATACAGTAGCAATATCAAGCTTCAATTCTCAGTAAGTCAGTCCTACACTTATAAAAAATAAAACAATTCGTAAGGAATCACATCATGATTTTACCAACAACACATGATATCTAATACATATATTGCAGTAGTCAATCTAATACAAATTCAGGACAACAACCAGTTACACCACACCACATGAGAACACACAATAACTAAACAACACTTTCAAAATACTGAAACAACATTCAATACCAGTTAACACTTAACATTCAATCATCAGTTAACAAATAACAGTTATAGTGAATTATGCATTTTTCAGAAACAAAAACAGTCACAACTCACAACTCACAACTCAATCACTCACATGCAATCATCACTCACCAGTACTAGTTGGCAGTCACTACTACTAATCATGCATATTTTCCAAGAAACAGTCAAACAGAAACTCAGCTTGAAGCATAATTCATTAATTCCACTAAAAACAGTATCATAATCATCTCGATAGCTAGCAATTAAGAACCAATAACTAAGTTATTTAATAGTCAACACCCAATTTCCCAACAGTAAGCAATTCAGGTGAACCACTAAACTCAAAAGAAACACAGTTCATTTTTAGGCAAACATGAAACATCAACCAGCAGTAGCAACTAATAGCAACCAGTAACAAAAAATTAGATAAAATTATTAGTTCTTAGTTCTTACCTTGAAGAGTAAAGACAGTAGCAACCAACAACCAGCAGTCAGTTCAGCTTCGGTGAGCTTCAGCAATCAGCAATTCAGCTCACGTGAGAAGCAACGTTTCAATTTACCCCTTTCAGGCTTTCACTCCACAAAAAAAGTCCCAAAATTTTTGAAATCTGAAACTCAAAGTATCAAACCGACAAACCCTAGATCTGTTTTGGGTTGGATTGGTCGATTTAATTAGTTGTGGAGGTGAGAAATGAGAGGAGGAGTCGTGGACATAGATGAATCGAATCAAAATCGATTTAAAAAAAAGCCCCAATTTAGGAACTATAAACCATAAACCCTAGATTTGGTTTTGGGTTGGATTGGTGGTGAATTTGGTCGATTAGCTGGGTTAGGGAGGTGGGAAATGAGAGGAGGAATCGTGGAGGTGAATGTGGAGGTTGGAAATGCCGGAGACAGTGCGTTTCAGTCGACGGCGACGGCGACGCGAAGAAGTTGCCAAGGGAGAAACGACGTGAAGAAAATGGGGCAAAAATAAAAAAGGGGAAAAATGAGAATTAGGTTTTGAGGGTTTGACCGGTCATACATATATTTAATAAATAAAATAATAAAAAATAAATTATTCGGGTAAATCGGATAATCCCGAAATACACTTATGAAAATCGACCCCGAACCGTATAGTTAATCGGTTAATCAGGTAGCCCCGAAATGGTCCCAATTAAGCCAATTAGCCGACCTGAAATAGTCGAACACATGTCGGGTCGGGCGGTTTGTCGGGTATGGCCGACTAATGAGCACCCCTGTAAATACATCGTAAATTTGGTATTGTCACACATTTGGTTTATCGAGGGCTATAAATATATTACTTAAACAGGCATTGGAAATCGGAGTCGCAGTTCAAAATTAATATGCAAATTGAGGTTTTTCTTCTTTTATTTATTCTTTTTGGTCGAACTTAATTTACTAAGGAATAGGATGTCCAAAGCCTCGGCAAGCTTTCAGGGAAAGGTTTTGATACGCCAAGAGATTTTGTTCGGGAACTTCTGAGAGATATTCAGAAGAAAATATATCCTTTAAATTGAATTTGTAAATCGGTAAAACACATTAGGGGTTGACTTTCTCTCCTAGTATTTAAAGTGATCTGGGTACCAACGGTGATTTGGTCATTTAGTGCATCATTCTGTCAGCTTAAGCCAAAACTTATGGGAAATCCATAGTTACTCCACTAGTTTAGCTGGAAAGTGGCCTCCTGTACACCCAAAATTGGGGACAAAATTGGAGGGTTTGGGGGTAGCTAGATTAGTTAATTCAAAAGAACCCAATTCAAACTTATACTCATTCGCCAATTTAACCTAGAAAAATTTGATGAAGCCAAATTTACCCTTAAGTTTTTATTGCTGGCAAAAATCTTCCGAATTCTGCTTGTGGACATCGCGGTTTGACATAATCATGTAAAGTTTTGTGTCATATTGTTGATATTTTCTCAAATCTACACTTCAAGGGTTGTCCCTGATGTTCGGCTAAATGATATCAACATTTTCCTTCTATTATTTTCTATCCCTCTTTTCTTAAAGAGTAGCAATCAATATGGTTGAAATTCATAAGAACTCATCGGTTTGAAACCATAGTTGGCACATTGGTATTTCTTATCAATAGTCTATAATTATTTAAATCTTCTGGTGATCTCCGTCATTGTACCAAAAAAAAAAAAAAAAATCATAAGAAACAATGTGGATTAACCTTACCCTCAAAATTTATAATTGACCTTTAAGATTTGTTTATTTAAACTTTGAAGGATGGCAAATATATTCAACCTCATGATTACTTGAAAGTTTCACATCGTTTAAGAGATTTGTTTATTTAAACTTTAGGAGCATATATGTAGACATCACTCTTTTGGGGTTTTTTTTTTTTCACTTTATAATGTTAGAAAAGTTTGTTTTACCTTTTTTTCTTCCTTTCCATTTTATAACGAATGTATTCCTGCTTATCAACTATTCGCTAAGTAATTTATCAGGAATGTAACTTAAGACATCATATCTCAGAATTGTTAGAAATTTAGTTTGTGATAGAAAACAAACTTTTGGAATTTTAAGGATAATAATTAAATTGAAAAAATTCCAACTCTTTACATAAAGCCAAGGGGTGTACCATAACTTACATCTTTTAAATCCCAATGGTTATGAAAGTATTTGTCTATAAATATGTAAACTATTGCAGGATTTTCTGTGAACTTTTTGCATTCTTGAATTCTTAATAAGTATTCAATAATAGTAAAGTTGTATATTTTCGTATTTTTTGTATTCGAGAGATAAATTACTAATCAGACCCGGGTTTACAACATAGTGGAGGCAAATATTTTCTTAAAAAAACAGTGTCTAACATGAATAGAATGCATTCATATGTTTGTGATTCCCCGCTATTTTTGATTAAATATTCTATCATTAGAGATCATCGTTTTTCATGTTTATTTTTTGGTGTCTTTAGTGTTGTCTCTTTGTTGGTACCCGATATACTTTCAAGAATCTCAAGTTATAGGGATTCATATTTCAAACATATTTTGATTCAGAATATAGTTTCTACCAAACCTCATACATACATTTAATACATATAGACTTCAGTTTTTACACTTAAGTGACCATCAAACGGAATTTTAAAAAAACGAAAAAAGAAAACAAATTTTGAAACTGAACAGTGCTTATTGATTTACAAAACATGCGGTAGCTAGTAGTTGAATTCTGATAAACCACTGATGCAGGTGCCGGAAGCAGTGGTGGATAAGAGATCAACGGCCTATAACGAAAGCAAAATATTCATTCACGGTGCGAAAGAGAGCACGGTGAATGCTTACAAGAAGCAATTCAAAGAAGACTTTTCCAAGTTCCTTAGGTCAAGATCTGTTGAGATTAAAAGAGGTGGATCAATGTTCTTGATCTGTTTGGGAAGGACCTCAGATGATCCCACGGATCAAGATGGCGCAGGCGTCATTTACGATACGCATTTTGAAGATGCTTGGGATGACCTTGTCCACGAAGTAATTAATCTTGAATAATAATACACTCTCTATTCAGAAAAATAGTCCATATTGAGTTTTGAGATTTTAATTAAGTTGGACAATTTTTTTTGGGGGACAGACGGAGTGCTAACAATTTATGTTTATAAAGTCGTATGTAATATTCTCTTTGTCCCACAAAAATAGTCCAGTTTAATAAAAAAGTTTGTCCCAAAAAATAATCCAGTTTCACAAAAGTTAAAATTAATTGAATTGAAATGAGTTAAATATCCAAAAGAGTAGTGGTAAGGAAAACAAGATCCAATTCCTTTGATTTTTTTTTTAAGTTTTCTCCTATTTTTTCTAATGATCATATCTTTTAATGCATGAATAATTAAAAAATGTGTTTTATATCGAATTAATTTACGTAATGAGATCTTTCCATCAAAATTCATTGTCAATATTTTTTAAGATAAAAATTTTGATCAAATTCAAATTGTAAAATAAATGCAGATGTAGTTAACTTTTATAGAAATAACTACAAGGGGCATTAGTGGAAGTTAGGGGTATAAAATGAGTTGTAAATTTAGTGTACTGACCAAATTAAAAAAGTTGTACATTTTCAAACTGAATTATTTTTCTGGGATGGAGTGAGTAATGTTTAGCTACATGAATTTTTTCTATGAACATGTAGGACTTAATAACGAGGAAGAAGCGTGATGATTTCAACATTCCTGTTTATGCTCCCAGTCTTCAAGAATTCAAGGAAGTGGTGGAAGCCGATGGCTCATTTGTGATTAACAAGCTAGAATTGTTTAAAACAGTAAGCCTCTCGGCCAATGGCTACCCTGATAATGCGGCTGAGGTGGGCCAGACCTTCGCCAACTTCTGTAGAAGTGCCACCGATGCCCTAGTTACGGCCCACATCGGTGAGCAGCTGAGCGAAGAGCTTTTCATCCGGGTGGCGCGCCGAGCTGCAAATCGAACAAAAGAAACTCAGCATGTCCCGATTCCACATATTGCTGCTTCTCTCTCTTTGGGTTAGTTTGAGTTGCTAATCCTGAGTTTCTCATGTTTTCTTTTAAACCCAAAGAAAAACAATCCATCTTCTTCTCGATGTTTGCATCATATGTGTTCATTAATGGAGAACTGGTTTGATATGATTTTCTTGTCTTTTTTTATTGTTGTCATCCAATGAATTGGATAAGCATTCGATCATTCCTAATAATTCACATTCTAGTTTTGATTAGTTGTTGATTTTTGCCTTAATTCAGTGAAATCTGTAGCTTCATTGTCAATATTCCTTAGTTCGCAAAATGCTCAATTGCATTTTTGCTAATACGTATACTACATATTTCAATATATTCCCAATCTATATCTATCTATATATTATGTTAAAGCAAAATAAGTTTGTAGAAAAAAGTACACGTGTCAAGTTTCTGTTAACCGTTTCTTGCCAAAAAGTTTTAGTATACAAATGTTTGATGCATAAATTGTTAAACATAATTTACAGAAATAATCGCAATTTATGGGCGAACTTGATTAGTTAAGGAAGAATCGCAAATTGGTGCCATTTATTCAAAAATTTGAACAAGACATGAAAGTTTCATTTGAAATGATATGAAAATGATTAGAAAATGATAATTATCCTTGAATGTGGACGTTTTATTTACAGTTATTTAGCTTAAACGGATTAATGAACTATAACAAATTATTGCTTTGATTAGCGAGATTTGGAAGATTTTTTATAATGAATTTTAAAATAATTAGTGAATGATATTATGATTGAATGTGGACACTTTTTCCTTACATATTCGATTTTTTTAAAAAAGGAAATGATTACAAATCTATAGTACTTAATTAAAGCAGCAAACAAAAAGGACATGTGTCAGTACTACAAGGAAATTTTTCCGCCAAAAACCATTGTCAGTACAAAATCATTTTTGACAAGTGGCGCTCTAACTAATCCGAAAAAAATGGAATAGATAAATACATAAATCCCTTGATTATAACTACATAAAAATCTCTTAATTATAGGTGTATACTAATCTCTTAAAATAACAATATTTAATTAATAAAATCAAATGTAAGAAAATCCCCTTAAATCAAGTGAAACACAATAATGTCTTCCCAATCCCCAATTTCAAAAAATATCTTCCATTCCACTCCTCTCTCACTCCCGGGCCTTTAAATCAATTACTTAAAATTTGACATTAATTATCAATCCATCTATTTCTACAACAGAAAATAAGCCGTCATGAAAGAAATTTGATTTCTTAAGGATGATTTTTTTTTTATTCTTCTGTTGTAGATATTGATTTATGATTTATGTAAACCCGGGCATAAGTTAAGTGTTGTAAATTAAATGTTATAAATCTGCACATAGATTTATGTATAATAACTCACTTTCTGTCATTTCAATCGATTTTTTATTCTTCTATTTTTTTCATTCTTTTAAGAATGATTCGTATTTTTTATTTAATCGATTTAAAAATACAGGCAGCACCTCGGGCATTCGCCCGGGGCAAGCATCTAGTTATGATTATGCACTTATTGATTGATTTAAATTAAACGTTTTAGGACTACTATTTAAACTCCAACCCTCTGTATACACATGTCTACAATATCGTTCTTCTCATTCTCTGTTTAATGTATATATAGGTTAGAATTATTTACTACTACGTACTTTTTTTGTGCCCTCTATGGTTTAATTCTGCTTTTAAAATATTTTTTTTGTCTTCGTTAAAGGCGATAAAAATGGCTACTGATTGCAATTGGTATGGCACTAATTCTGTTATTTATATTATGTAAATTTTCTCAAAACATAGCTTGAAAAATCTAATTTGCAAGTTCTGTTTACTTGTGTAAATTATCTCAAAACATGGCTTGTAAAATATAATTTGTAAGTTATATTTATATTGTGTAAATTCTCCCAAAACGTGGATTTCAAAATCTAATTTGCAGATTATATGTTCACTTGTGTAAATTATCTCAAAACATGGCTTGTAAAATATGATTTGTAAGTTATGTTGTCTAGTGTAAATTCTTCCAGAATATGGCTTTCAAAATATAATTTGAAGGTTATGTTCACTTGTGTAAATTATCTCAAAACATGGTTCACTTTTTTTTTTTTAACTAAAACCTAACCATATGCCAATACATAGTTTGCTAGCTAGACAATAGCAAATTAATGATGTCGCACTTTTAATACTAAAATTAATTCTTACTATTTTTATGAAGTACACTTTTTACTATATTTACTTATATATATATATATATATATATATATACATACATAACTTCTAAAAACTAATTTGGTACATGGTTTGCTAGACAATAGTAAATTATGTTCATATGATGTCTCACTTTTACCACTACTATTGATTCTTCCTATTTTTATGAAGTGCACTTTTTACTATATTTATTAAATTTACTAGAAGATGCAAGAGCTTGAGATGCTATATGATGAATCAAGAGCTGATATAGATAGGTCAAATCTCCATCTTGCTAAGGCACTTTTGTTACCAAGGCTTAAAGAACATGAGGAATTCCTACGGCAAAAAGTTAAGTCTAAATGGCTTAAGGAGGGTGATGCCAATACATCTTTCTTTCATTCTTCGTTAAAGGAAAGAAGGGCGAGATAGAGCTCCCATAAAATCAAGTCTAGAAGTGGTGAAACGTTAGTGGAAACGGGTTCTACTGAAAAAGAGGCGGCTGAATTCTTTCAAGAGCTCCTTCCGGAGAATGGAATTATGAGTAATATGGAAGCTCAAGATATTTTTTGCAGCACATTCCATGCGTGCTTGGGGAGGTTGATCATGGCTTCTTGTTGTGGTCACTATTGTTAGAAGAGGTCAAAGAGTAGGTTTTCAGTTTAAATGATGAGAGTGCACCGTGTGTGGATGGTTTTGGGGGGGCATTTTATCGAAGTTGCTGGAGTATCATTGCCAATGATCTTTAGTCAACTTGTCAAGAGTTCATGTTTGCGGTGCCTATACCAAGATCAATTGCTAGCGCCTTGATTACTCTTCTTCCTAAAAGGCTATGGTGAATACCTTCTTGTACTTTCGCGCAATCAGCCTATGCAACTTCTTGAATAAAGTATTTACTAAAGTGATTACTGAGAGGCTGAAAAGTATCTTGCCAAGGCTAATCTCGGAAGAACAATCGTCCTTTCTTGCTGATTGGGATATTGTTGATAATGTACTATTGGCCCAAGACTTGTGTCAGTTCATAGATCGAAAGGCGGTAGGGAGTAATATGGTTGTCAAAGTTGATATGATGAAGGCTTTTGACTGAGTTAAATGGAGTTTCCTTAAACCATCTTGCTGAAATTTGGATTCCCGGTCATGAATAATCTACAAAATAGCTGGTTCTCGGTCCTGATTAATGGTAGTCTAGTTGGCATTTTGCAGGCATCTTGTGGCATTACACCAGGGAATCCTTTATCTCCTTATTTATTCATCATTGTCTCAGAAGCTTTAACAAGAAGGGTAAAATCTTTAGCGGATGTAGGGAAGATTGCATCATATGGCACTATAGCCAGCTCTTTGGTGGTATCTTATGCTTCGCGGATGATTTAATAATTATTTCTAAGGGGCTGAAGAAGTCGATGAACGAAATCAACAAGTTCTTTAAACTTTATGAGTTGGCAGCAGGCCAAAAAGTTAGGATAGAGAAAAGCTTTTTTGTTACCTCTGAGAAGTGTAGTCCGAGAAGGGTAGAGATGATCAAGAGGACTTTGCGTATCCAAAAAGGAGCGTTCCCTTTTACCTACTTGGGTTGTCGCTTATTCCATGGTAGAAAGAAGATCTCTACTTTTTAATTTATTTTGGATGCTATGGATTCTAAGCTCCTCAATTAGAAGAATAAGATGTTGTCTCCTGGGGGCCGGTTGATGTTGATCAAGCACGTCTTGTCTTTTATGCCGATCCATATATTTTCAGCAATTCGTCCGCCTAAGACAGTGATTCAAGAAATGGAGAAGAGGTGTCAAAAGTTTCTCTGGGAAGGCGCTAGTGAAGAGAAGAAGCGCCATTGTCGTTCATGGAATAGGATTCCACTTCCTATTTTGGAAAATGGGCTTGGTTTGAGAAGCTTCCACGATAACCTTGCAGCTCTACGGCTAAATTATGGTGGAAGGTCAAGTGTAGAATAGGAATTCGGAGCTCCTTTATTCTCTCATTATCGAATGCCGCAAAGGAGAGAACTTCATGGTCTAGAATCGAGAAGATTGAGCCCCTTGTAGCGCCCCATTCCAAGGTAATTGTACAAAGGGGGGACAGACTTTGTTGGTTGTGCATGATGTGAAGGTTCGCAATGAAGCTGACAAAGGTTTCATTGCCAATCTATTTGGATTACAACTATCTCGAAAAGTAAAAAGAAAATCTCAGATAGTTCGATGGATTCTTCATGTACCTAAAACTTATGTATTGAACTCTGATGATACTCATCACTATGTGGTGCAGGCTATGGCTTTTTGATTCGAGGGGAAGGTGGCAAATTTTAGTATGGTGAATGTGGTTATCTTGGAGATTGAGATAGTTTAACATCGGAAATATGTGGCATTTTGTTTGGGTTACGAAGATGTGAGCTTCTGAAGCTTCCAAATGTTGTTGTTCAGACGGATAATAAGGTGCTTGTTCATGTCTTAACGAAGCAAATAGGGTTTCCATGGAAACACTACCTGAAGATGGTTGAGATGATCACTATTTTGGCGAGAAATAGGTACTCTATTACACACATTTACAGGAAAGGAAACGCGGTTGTAGACTGTTTGACAAAGGACTATTAATCTTAGATCAATAGTCTTTCCGTTATGTATGAAATTGAGCATAGAACTCGGTACGCTTGATGTAAAAGGTTAAAATATTCTCTGCCCTTCTTTTTTTAAAAAAATCAATTAAACGGGAAGAGATGAGACTAGGGAACTGGATGGTATATATGTTCATCCCTTCGGTATACCTATCTAACACTGGCTGTCTCAAAACATACCTCTTGGTTATACCCCTTGAGTTTTTTTTTTTTGAGATAGTTGAAACCTGAATATCGTCCTAACCGTTATATTTAATATATATATATATATATATATATATATATATATATACATGGCTTCTAAAAACTAATTTGGAATGTTAAGTAATTGAAATTCCTAAAACATGGCTTGCAAAAAGATGTTTGCAAGTTGAGTTCACGTTTTCGAATTATCCAAAAACATGTTTTAAAAAATCTAATTTGTAAGTTATATATGATTAGTTTCCCCAAATCATCGAAAACATATAAGTACTTTTTTTCTAGTATTATTATGCAAGTCATAATAGAATTCGAAACTAACATATTTGCTTTTTTTTTCTTCAAAATAAATTGTGTTTTGGAACCATTTCTTTTACCCAAAACATGAT